ACCTGTCAACTTTTCTGCCCGAAAGAGAATTTTAGTGAAAACGGCCAAATTTCCTAGTTTGCATATGTGATACGCCATAACCAAAACATGACCTTTGCAAAACAATGCAATAAGGAATCTTTCGTATCTTCCATTTCTGCCAGAGACTAGTTTTCGGAACACCCGCTCTTAATGAGCCCAGACGACTAGAGACGTTATGCGACATAAGACCAAGCAAAGATCTTTCTTTCGTTTTTTTTTTGAGCCAGTTCCCTTCATACTGAAAAGTGGATTTTGAAGATTTACAATTCGAGTTTACTCAAATTTTGCAACATTCGATCAAAATGCAGATCTGGGGCGCCTTGAAATAGGGGAGCGTGGTATTTCAGCTATCAAGAAAACGCAGACAAGAACGGAAAATCGGTGTAGATCGAGGAGCTTGGGGGCCCACACACCTTTGATACAGTCACGTCCACATCGCCAATGGTCCATATCCCCAATATGATCCTCGCTCTGTAGCGCGCTGCATGTGCGGCTAAGTACGACCGCATTACGTACATTATGTGAGACAATTTCCTTTAGTAAGTAACCACTTACCAACTGTTAGACTTTTTCCCTTTCGTTATCCCGACCTTTAGCCCTCGTCAAGAACACTACATTACGCAAATGCGTAAGAATTTTAAACTCATTAAAAAAGTTGGCAAAACACATCGCGTTAAGGATGAGAGAACTAGGTTTTGATATGATACTATGTTCGTTTCCTACATGACTCAGTCAACTGTGATCACTAGAAACAATGTTCAAAGTTTCACGCAAGAAAATCATTTTTAAGAGAGAACCTACGAAAGCTACACTAGGGACGGTTACAGGTACGTCAGGCGGAGATAAGGGGATGCATGGAAAGAAGTGGGGCGGCCATGTACCAGGCGACGCATTGTAAGAATCGGGTTAAAGCATTCAAATTTGTAGTATAGAGAAAAGACGAAATGGTCGAAAGATAGGATGCAGAAGAAATGAGAAATGCTACTGCCATAGGCTCCATGGAAAAAGTCGTCAGCCGCGTGGACGCGGAAGGGTGCTGGTGACGTCGCTGTGAGTCAGAGCGGCGTCGAGGGAACAAGAAAGGGACAGCACTGCTTTAATACATGACATACTGCAGGCGAGTATCGTATCTAACTTTACGGCGCGGGTAAGTAGAAGTAGGAATCGAATTCAAGGAAATTACTATAATTTTGAATCAGCTGCATGCGAATTGTGCACTACTAAAGAGGTATAGGCTAAGAAAAACGGTATAAACTTTCCCAATATTTTGGTCACGAAAAAGCAAATGATGAAGCAGACTTTTCTCAAAATGGATCCGGTGTCAGTGAAGCATTTACATTTGAAGGTCACAGCAGTTGCCATTCAGTGGAGCGCGGACTAGAGCGGGAACTAGAAGCGATCCAACACATCCACGCTCACGTCTTGTATATGCATATATATCTCGCTGTATGTGCACGCCAATTCCCATACTTGGAATTCGCACAGCGTCGGTATGCATTTCGTCCACGAAAAAGTCAGATTCTATCTCGCACGAGAATCCCTAGCTTGAGAGCCATCTTTCACGATAAGAACAGAAAGTACGAAAAATTTCGTCTATCTTGCCTGTTTTGTTTGTTTCAAAACCGGAATGACTGTACGGAATGACTGTTCAAATTCCCGTCCGTACATCTTTCACAATGTTCGCAAGGGAAACGATTTCACTGATCTCAGAGTGCCTTCATTGAAAACTATTTTTAACCCCCTTCATCTACAGCAATGAGGGAGAGAAAAACTCCCGGCGGCGCAGACGCGAGCGCAAGCTGGTGACGTCACAGCCGTATGGCAAGCACGTCCACGAGAGGACAAACAATGTCCAGCACCCTGATGTTACTGAAACATCACCAACCTGTGCAATCAGCAGTGGCGGAAAAGACTCATATAGATAGCACGTTTGTGATTGAGCATTGGAATATTTCTTTTCAAAATAGTTTCTAATTTCCGCTCTAGTCTGCGCTCGCTCCACTAAACGACGACTGCTGTGACCTTTAGATTCAAGGCATCACCCATACCGGATCTCTTTTCAAAACGCTCTGGTTCATCATTTGTTCTTTCGTGATCAACCTAATTGGCATCTCTTTATCGACGTCCCAGCATAACACCATCACATGGTCATATCGATCTCAGCTAAAATCGGAAATCAAGAAGTTGACGCTGAGCTAATTTCGAACTGTGCAACTCATGAAAAACATAAGATTAAGGACGCTCGTATAGCTCGTGGTGATGAGTTCATGCCGTTTCATTTTGTGAGTACTTTTAGAGTACCGCGTTAGAGTAGGCAATGGGTTCGCGAACAGCCCAAATTCTATTTACGTAAGAAGTCTTCTTCCACCTCTTCAGAGCAGAAGCGCTTATAATCACTGACAAACACAATAATAGTGAGAAGAAGCGCGGAACTGAGCTTCTCAAGAGTGGCATGACTTCAGAAGCGCCCTTCTGCTTGAACATGTGTAATTCATGGAACACAGTCTCGAACAGAACCTAGAGAAGACCAAAGGCATGCTTACCACAGATGCGAACGCACGATGCCAAACAATCGCTCCTTGTGCATCACAGTCTTGCGAACCGTGTACTGTCACCATAAGCGGAAGTGATAATGTCCACACGTCGAACTGAACATTCAACAAATCATTTTTCACATCGAATTACCGAACTTCTTTTCGTTTAACACCATATAGGACAATCCCGAAAATCCCATACACCTCCATGAACAAACGACTGTTCATTTTCGTTCAGAAGCAACAGACGGATGAAAACAAAATATCAAAAAGATGAGTTAACAAAGCACTCACTTTTCCGAGGGTTCCCAGTTGAAACGGGCTTATATGGAAAAGAAGTGCATACTTCTGATCTGTGGCTGCTTGGGCACTAACGGTGCATTTCATATCCGCTGTTGTTCCTTTCGGTGGTGGCTTGCGATGGGCGATGCGGGTCAGTTTCTGAACAAATTGAGTTTTTACTGAAAAAAAAATAGAAGAGAAAGACACATTACCGAATTGTTGAACTTGGCAGCCATGTGACCTCTTTCGTCCATTGTCATTTTCTCGTAGTCATTGCTAATACTGCCTACAGTCTTACTGAAATGAAACGTTTTCATAGCTAAACTCGCGATCTGAAGGAATTTGAATGCCGTCGCATGTATGAATGCCGAACGAACGGAAGAACGCGACACACTTTAAGGTAATGAGGTCTAGCATACGTGCCCATGCGCATTATTTTTCAATCAGAATCGTGGCGTCATTTTAAATGCGTGTAATCCTACACGCGGAGTTGTGAGGATTGGCCGACGTGCAGGTCTCATCCTTCCAGACAAGTCTGGCACCTATTAACCGACCACGGATAGATGGAGTGTTTGGGTGGCCTGGGGCCGTAAGGTATGCTTCCCGAAGGGTTAGGGGACGAAATTCCCTTTTTCTCTGTCTCCCAACTGGGATTGTCCTGATAAAGGGCCTACATTTAATATATGTGTGTAGGTTAAAGTAAACATGCATTGAAAATAAAGAAACAGTATCGTTCAAAACAAAAAATTTAAAGGGACTTTCGTCCCCGCAACATTCGGGGAAGCATACCTTACGGCCCCTGGATGGCGCACAATAGTCTGATCTTACGATTTTGGGCAACAGAGAAGAGTTGTGCCTTCGACTGGAGCTTACTCGATCGTGTAACCGTATCGGCTGTAACCCGCTAATCGGAACTTCCCTTTGTAATCGTAATACGCTATCACGTAAGAAGGGGACGGGACCATCCTCAAAGTGGACATTGATATTTCGACCACCAAGAGAACGGATCGGCCCTACTCACCCACAACCCCTCCCTACCTTTTACTCATTCATCAAAATGCAACATTTGTCATACACAAGGAGGCAAAAATCTAGCAGGCATCCTCGTTAAGAAGTAAGACGGTAGACAAAATTAACTACAAGAAACCTGTGGATATGAAAAAGCTCCGCATTATGTAAAACACATTTGGGTCGGACGAAGAATTTTTCGGGGTGAACATCTAAGTGAAGGTATAACTTGTGTCACACTCTAATACCTCAAAAAAACTATTAGCCTATAGTAGTTATATGGCATTGGCCTAAGGTGTTCACCCACGTCTGTAAAAGGTATTGCACTCTACGATAGGAACCCAGCATACCTATAACAACGACTCCGCTGCCATCATTGTATAATCATCAGCGAAGTTTCTAATTTTTTTACCTATAGTATAGTGCAAGCCATTATCTTCTGGTCTTCAACCGCTTCAAATATGTCTTATGAGCTAGAAAGGTAGAAAATCGTATAGAGGGAACTTACATGTCTTTGTGATTCATCTGCGTCGCACTGAGTAGTTTAGCTTCCTCCTCAGCGATGATCTTTACGGTGACATTCGTATTTACCAAATGTTGTCGAATGCCCAATTTGTCACCAATCAGCAAACGAACCTAAAGCATTCCTCGTCTAATTCGGGAACTCGGTAATAAGTAGTGTTTATAAAAAGTCACAAATCCATCTCGTAATCTCCATAGGAAATTGGGGACAAACTAAAACTATTACGTGGTCAGAAAGCATAAAAAATGGTTTATTCCACTCCTTGTTCTCAACACATGGAAGTAAGATATTGAGCAGATTTGAAATAAATGTCTTAAGGCATCACCACCAGACCTCATCAGTGCAGATGACCCCTTTGACTACTGTCTTTCTCTCGTAGAAATACATATTCATCAAGTAAACGTGAAATTAGTTCCTGCACACCTCTGTGACGAATTTGTGCTGCGTCTTCAGAACAGGTTCAGGTTGCACGGAAACCACAAAGCTCTGTGAAATCAGCATGAAGAGAAGCTTTGTGAGTTGATCAGCCAATGTCGTTAGATTCGAAGCAGTCGAATGAGCGTGGTTGTCATTGATCTGCGGTCCTGAACTCCCAGCTAAAAGTCAGAAGAGGGCAACTTCAACAATACTTCAACAACGAAACTATCATCCACGAAACAATTTTTTGATCCCTTCTTGTTATCACTCTTTCGACACGGAAAACTCACCCCTAGTCAGCAGATCCAGCGTCCAACTAGCGAACATGTGCAACTGCCAATTTTGCTCCGCAAGGAACTCGAACCTGTTGAAAAATTAGAGAAATTTGATCCATTGAATGCATCAAATTTCTAAGCTAGTGAAGCCCGCTAAGCACTCACTCCATTTGTATCTCATCGAGTGTGACGTCACGATTATCAAATGGTACACCCACTTGCGCCAGTTTCTGCCGATTTTTCCAGTCGAAAAGACGATCGCTAATCAATTGATTCTGAATGACCGCAAAAGCTCAGATACTACAACAAGTACTGTCTCTAAGATTGACTTACAAGAAAATTGATGACCTTAGCAAAAACGATATGGTTCACTCCTGGAACCTTACATATCATTCGCCGATTTTGAATAATATTTTAGCCTTAATTAACAACGAGATGATTCACGCACGCCATCGTTTTTTTTTTCACTACCATACACGCATTTTCTGGGTTTCGATCGAAAAAAAAAACCACGTTCCCGTGACATGCGTCATGGAGGCAATGTTCATCATGGCCCAAACCCGCAGTTCGGAACTTAGTGTCGTTACGGCGATATAACTACAAGATCGACGGGTATGTTTCTACGGCGCATTTGTAAGTTGCTGGAACTTCGTGTTTACTGCACTATGCATCCCTTTACATACTTTGTATACCTTTACTGTTCCTTACCAGAGACTGAGCCGGTTCTCACGAAATTTGTAAAAGGAGGTGGATTTGGCTAAAAATCTGCTCATGAGAGTTTTACCCACACAGTACGAATATCACATCTCTTCGGCGCGGAAACGTTTGGTGACCGCGCCACGGGCGCCGGCTCCGAACCACTACAGACCATCAAATTCAAACACAACTTTCCCTCGGGGTAGTTTGGGAGCCCTTCCAGTGAGGGGAGGGGGAAAGCCTGTAGTGTAACAGTTGCTGCTGCTTACCGAAATTTGAATTTTTTCAGCGGAAAGAAACCCCCGGCTGCGAGAACGGACCATTTCACTTTCCACTTTCACACTCACCCCTAAGCGTCCTTCCCTTTCAAAAAAAAATCGGATACTTTAGGCGATATAAACTGTCACCGCCGGCGCCTATTCGGCATTTTCGCGCCGAACTGATAGGACAATCGGGTCGAACTACCCCTACACAACTTTTTTGCCAAATCACCCCCATTCAGAAATTATATAAAAAAAATCCAGCTCACCTCTCGAGCAGTGGCGCAGTGAAGGGTAAATAGTGCATGAAAGGTTAATGATTCTAGAGTTCCATCGTATTCAATTTCAGACTTTTTTAATGTCACAGTTATTCTGTTGCCATGGGTTCGGTTAGTGGCACACGCTTTTCTGCGCATAAGCACAAGGATCACCTTATCAGACACGCTTTTTTCTGGAAAAACTCCGGAGGGTTTTCAAACTGTACTGATGTCATGACAGGATGCGACGTCGCGCATCGGGTTCAACGTTTTCCCTACAGGACCAAAAACGCGATTGGCTGAATCCCCCAGGCAGTGTATGGGCAAAGAGTGCCACGCTGCTCCATGCTAATATGCTGCAAAATCCGTACGTCTGTGGGCGCGGTCACGCTGCAGATGTTCTCTTCAACACGGTTACGCATGCTGATCCTGTAGCGAAAATGTTCGAAGAGACGCAAGAGGCGTCATGAGACGCTTTGTCATGGCGCCTTTTCTAACAACTATCAGAAAAGAAATATAAAATATTGTATTCAAGAGTTACAGGAAATTGGGAGTGAAATACCACTAAACATCACAGCACACCTGCAGCAGAGCAACAAAATTTGTTCCATCGTTTAATTTTTTGACGATTTCTTCTCTCTTCGTTGTTAAAACCGAATATAACTGCGATGCCCTTCTTTGCATTTCTGTCATTGAATGGCGTGCCTAAAAAATGAAGTAAACAGTAAACGAGCTCACTCAAGTTCAAAGGCACATCTCACAATGACTAAGCAGAGCAATCTTCCCCGTAATGAAAGTAACTACGTCTGAAACGATTGCAAATGCGGTGGGCTCTGTTTCCCAAGCACATTTGCTATAAGTTCTCGTCTCCAAGAACCGTGAAACCATCTCCCTAGAAGGGGATAAAATCCAGGTCCCCCTCTCAACCTGCTCTTCCCCTCATTCATTGGAGCGGCCACAGATGCGCGACACTGCTTTCGCAGCACACTGTCATCAGAAAAGCAAGGTGAACCAAGGCAACAGAGGTTGTACTTGCTTTGGTGAGAGGAGGAGGTGGTATGGAGGCAGTGAAGGTGGTATTTTTTGAGAGTAGGTTTGATGGGAATGAAGAAGAGATGGAGGTGATAGAATACAATGGAGGAATAAGCGGGAAACGGATCTCTCACCTATAAAGTGCTCCTCATGAGAATAATTTCCTACTATTCCTGTCTCACAAGCCATGTTGATTAGTGCTCTGGTTGCAATGGGTGACGTGGGATCAGCGCAATACTGACACGATCGCCCACAAGAAAGCGAGAGAGGTTTTAATAGAGAGGTAAGGGGTCGCATTCATCACGGGGACGGCAATAGGTTTGTATTGGCCAAAATTTCTTTGACACGTGACATACGCTTCTATGGCTGAGGAGCAGGGTGAATATCGCTTGAGGATTCCTCAACGGCACGTCGAGGATTCTCTGCCCGATCAGAGACGATCTCTCGCGCGGACATTCACACTCGCCATGCCGTGCCGTCTGTGCTCTCCGCGCGGATGTTCACTCTCGGCACTACTCTCGCATGGTAGAGAGCTATGGTCGAGGAAATCCTCGACCGTTATTCACCCTGCTGAGGAGTGCTATTGCTCAAACTGTTGAAGGGATGGATCAGCAGAGGCACGCGATCACGCAACACTGAGATTAGATGAAGAAGGTACCCAGTGTCTCTTTGCCGCAGCACGTACATCCCAAAAAGTGCTCTTTCTAACGCTCACGACTGTTTCCGTCCCTTTTATCTTCATTACTTCATCTTCTCCGGTCTACTCACTATCTATTTCATTTCCAGGCGTAATAGCCACACCGACTGTCGAGGATTAAAGCTTTCGTAATGGGAAGAAACAGCTACTAGCATATAAATTCCTTCAAGTATGTCTATGCGTGTGTATGTCTGGTGTGTCGTGTGCTTGTCACGAAATTCACAGCGCGCTTCAGTGGAGCGCTGTATTTTAGTATGTTGTACGGAGCGGAACGGGAACATATCGATGGGGGACAGAAAGTGATAACGGCCGATGAGATCAGTTAGGCGTTGGTTTGAACCGTGTGCTGTTAGAGGGTTAGGACGGAGAACAGTTCAGAGTGGAGTCAGAAAATGCCTATTAGCTGATAGTGGCGATTATAACGATATAGGGTTCACTGCTGAAGCCAGACTTTAGATGAAGCATTTTATTTCAATAAACTTTCGTTTGCGTTGTTATCACCGACCCGAAATGCCACTGGACCGGCACGCTCCCCAGAATTCCTAAGAGTGTATGGAGGATGTTCGGAGAAACACGATATTGAATTCTGGGTTTTCCATTTCAACATCAAATACAATCCAACCGCTATATTGTACTGCATTCGATGCAAGGTGGTTAATTTCAACGGCTGTCCTGTTTCACCTAGGCTTTCCCGTTTCATGTGTGCGGCAGCGTGCGGCGCTAAGTTGGTATGTGCATACGAGCCCATGGCAAACGCTGAGTAAGCCGTCAGCATAATCCTCCTAGCATGCCTTTCGTATTTTGTTTAATATCGCGATGGAAGTGACTTACATGCTGCAATTGATCTTGACGATGTTCCCTCTCCAGTTGTGCTATTGCCTGCTGTATCCGAGAAATCTCATTCAAGTCATTCACAAATCGACCCTAGAGTTAGAATAACATCAGTTACACAAGCTGCACATACAGTTAACACATAATGACTCTAGCGTTTTGCTTTTTTTGGCCGCGCAGGCAGGGACAACAGTCACGTTCACACTTTTTCGAAATTTATGCGTCGCCTCCCCTAAGGAAGTCCATGCCCGACACCCCTCCCCCTGTGGTGCTTATTCTTAGAGGTTTTTATTGGGAACCGTCAAGACAGCTAAAAGTGATTAGTTCGGAATGCAGGCAAAATAAGGGAAAAAACTCCAAAAAGGACATAACTTTCTTGAAATAATACATTTTCTAATTATTTATGTAGATTTAGATGACGTTATACGTCAAAAACTCAAGTTACCTCAGAAGCCCGGAAAATCTATGTGGTAGGGTGGTGTCAGAGTCCGCGATTTTGCGCGATTTTCGCGATTTGCGCGATTTTCGCGATTTGCGCGATTTTCGCGATTTGCGCGATTTTCGCGATTTGCGCGATTTTTGCGATTTTCGCGAAACCTGCGATGGATCACAGGAGTTGGAAGTGCCCGATGAATACTGCGAGGTGTTGTTTAATCCTGCTGCGAATTCTGCTTGGCAGTAAAGATTGGAAGACGAATGTTTGTGGTTCTACTTGTTTCATGTTCAATGTCTATTAGTTCATTGAAATGCTCTTGAATCGTTCCTATTTTTTTCAGGAATCAAACCAAACCAATCACAAAAATTGCAAGTGCCCCATTTGAACAATTGAAACACTGGATATGAAACAAGTGGAATCATGAGCAGTCTCCATTAAACCATAACCATCAAGCAGAAGTGACGGCGGGATTGGAGAACACCTTGCAGTATGGATGGGGCACTTGTAATTTCCGTGACCCGTCGCGCAAATCGCGAAAATCGCGCAAATCGCGGCAAATCGCGCAAAATCGCGACAAATCGCAAAAAATCGAATCGCGGACTCTGACACCAGCCTAACGAAGTGGAGAACCCTCATCTGAGAAAGACATCTCCATCTTTCATAGGTCAAACATCTTTCGAGTGCGACTTTTTGAAGACTCGTAAAAAGATTTCAAGATCCTCGAATATTTTAACCAACGAGTACTGTTCTATCTTTTTCACTTTTCTTTGTAACGAAAGATAAAACTTTCGTAATCGGCCAATTTGTCCAAAAATTTCCTTGTTCCCACTTTTTTTCGGGCGAATGCGGCTTTCTTCGTCGTTTATCGACGCCATAACCTTCTGAGTTTACGACTTTTCTTCGTCTGTTGTGAGCTTCTAGAAGGCACTAAGGTTACCGCATGCGCTCTCTAGCACGAACAGTACACGCGTTACGAAGTCTGAATTTTTCGAACAAAAAATCACACGTTCGCTAACTTTTTGTGGACTGACCTGAACACCTTTTTGAAAACGCGACTGCCATCAGGCAGCAAATGACACCTTACATTGGCCGATGTCAGAGTCTGCGATTGGAGCGATCGGTCAAATGCCAATCGCGCGACCATCGCGCGATTCGCGCGACGATCGCGCGATTGACATGAGTCCCATCATGACCAATCGCTCCAATCGCGCGATGGGCGCGATCACTCCCGTTGTGGCAGGCGCGCCCCTCTCGATCGATACCTCAGTCAACGTATCGATCGAGGGGGCGCGCCAGCCACAACGGGAGTGATCGCGCCCATCGCGCGATTGGAGCGATTGGTCATGATGGGACTCATGTCAATCGCGCGATCGTCGCGCGAATCGCGCGATGGTCGCGCGATTGGCATTTGACCGATCGCTCCAATCGCAGAGTCTGACATCGGCCATTGAGTTTTATGGTAAATTCTCGGCAGGCCAGAAAGTACAGGACTTTCTAATGAGCGCTTAACTCTTCTCAAGGTCATCTTTCGAAAAAATCACACACACTCGCAATTCTTTTGTTGTCTGAGCAGTAACTCGAGAATTGGCCGATGTCAGAGTCTGCGATTGGAGCGATCGGTCAAATGCCAATCGCGCGACCATCGCGCGATTCGCGCGACGATCGCGCGATTGACATGAGTCCCATCATGACCAATCGCTCCAATCGCGCGATGGGCGCGATCACTCCCGTTGTGGCTGGCGCGCCCCTCTCGATCGATACGTTGACTGAGCTATCGATCGAGAGGGGCGCGCCAGCCACAACGGGGGTGATCGCGCCCATCGCGCGATTGGAGCGATTGGTCATGATGGGAGAAATGTGCCAATCGCAGACTCTGACATCGGCCATTGGGTTTTCAGCTATTAGAACTTCCTTCAGAAATTTGTTGCGCAGGAGCGAAGGCTTTTCTGACAAATACGGAGTTTCTGCTATCTGATATGCTCCAAATTTCTCCGAAAAAGCTCTCTCAAAAATATGGCTCTTGTAAAACTTTTGTTCCGGCCTCGAACAATCAGTCCTTGCATAGCACTGCACTTCGTTGTCCTTGTCAGGCTCGAATACACGTCCTTCCCACACCCCATCTACTGACCAATGACGCTATAACCGCGATTTTGACTGCAGGTCCTCGCGACCACCGCCCACAGTGCGACTCCCCCTATCCAAATAGTGCGAGCGGGCGGTTAGCGGTGCGTGGGGATCGTCGCGATTTTGCAAGCGTGGCCGCTCCACCACAGATGTGGTGATTTTGAAACAGCAATACACAAAAAATGAAGGTAAATGAAAATAGAAGAGTCGTGCGCGCACGAAGCTTCTCCACGGCCTGCACGGACATATCTGACATGCCAGGCACATACGACTCACGTTGTCGTCAATGAGCAAAAGTGGATCCGAAAAGATGCTGTCTTTGCTAACCGTCTTCTTTTCGAATTAATCGGTCATAATTCAAAAATGGTAAAGTATTCCAGAATCACAAAGGCTAATCCAATGGAAATAAAAAAAAATACCTGCAGATCCTTGTTCTCCTCCCAGAGACTGTGCGTCTCCTTTGTAGCATTTGTCAAACCTGTACGCAGCTCTTCAACAGAGCAATGGGACATGACAAACCTTCAGACAGGCCAAGCTAAAAATGTGCATGTTCACATAATAGTATATGTTCGAACACCTGCGTTGATATGCCTACACGAAGAAGTTCAAAAGAATGGCGGTTTCAACCTAGAAAGCATATCAAAACATCTGAATGAATAAAGCGATCACGATATCAAAGAAGGCGCATGGCTTACAGCGATCGAATTATTTAGGCAATGTTAATCATGGGACACGAGATTCAGCCTTTTTTTTTGAAGATTTCGCCTTGTTTTGAGGTATTCACCACAGCTACTTTTTTCTTTACGTGTTTATCAAGGGGTTTCTGAGTAATCGAGCGCTGATTTAAACTTGTTATATCACGCTCCTACTCCAGAAAAATCACAAGAGTGAAATAAGAACCATTCCGCAAACGCAATGTTGCACGTGTTACAAGTTCCGTTGGAAAAAAGAAAGACACGTTCCGCACCATTAATACGCTGTAAAAGCACTTTCTTAAGCCCCGAATCTTGAAATCCAGCATCTGCAGAGGTACCAGTGAATATATTGAAAAAAATGAGATTTAACAGCTTATTTCACTAGACAATCCAATGTCATAACATAGATCAGCGCAATAGACATCACTAGAACAGGATTATGACCGTTCAAGAGCCTTCCAGGTCATGCCCATCATATTCCTTATTCAATTCAATCACATTTGCACACAATGATATTTTTCGAGAAAAAAAGTATTCCAGAAACAGCTTAAGCATTTCCAGATGTTACTGCTACGGCGCGAGTAAAGTCTAGGGAGAGAATTTGTAATGAGCGTTGTAAGTAGAGATGCATCTAGCGACAGTGAGAACTACACATTTTTAACGTGACAGTGCTCAAAGCCGCACTTGCAACCAGAGTCAACCCTGCGTTGCGCAGTTCGCAACGGCACGTTGAGAGATCCTCAACGCACGCTGTATGGGCGGAGACACAGACGGCTCGAGCATGCGAGTGTGAATGTTCGCGCGAGAGAACGTGTCTAATCGGGCGAAACTGCGCAACGCACGGTTGAATCTGCTTGCAACGCTCTTTAAAGGCAACTAGGCTGAACAATTCCAGGTGAACACTGCTGAGGGTATGCCAGCAGTTGCATTTCAAATGGCGCGGATCAAAACAACTTCGAATTTCCAGCCGTGAAATAGTTATACAGGCTGTATTTTGCGAGATTTTGTGAGAGTGCACATAGAAAAGGTCCCACACAAAGAAAAAAACATGTATCAAAAGTCACTTTTACTAAACGAAAATGCTAAATGTGAAGACATGAGGCAGTGACAACTGCGAACATTGAACGTACTGGTATCTAACGGAACAGTGAGCGTTGGTGGAAAAGAAAAACGTGGCGAAATTTTTATGAAGGTGATAACAAACATCAAAGACAGGCTTAATCAATAACGTTTAACAGTCTCAAAATATAACCACTAAGCATAACCCTAATACTGCCATAGAATATCGCATCTCACGTTGCACAATTCCACAATAGCGACAATAAAAGGAGAGCACATGGTTCACGATTCATAAACAAACGAACAAAAATCTATAACCCAAAGTAGTCGTCGTGTTCTTCTAGGTTTTTATGCTAATCTCACAAGAACTACAACACACGCTACCACTCGATGATAAGAGATTGCGAGAGTACATTCCGAGCTTCAGGTTGCTAAGTGACGACAGCTAGGCACAGCAAGAGCCGTGATTCTCTTCTCTTCAACCACTAATGCTTGCAGATGAAGCATGTGCCCATATCATGAGAGGATCACTTCACATTACCCACTTTTCACAAGAACCGTGCGCCCATCATTTTCCAAAATTGGCACTTCAGATAAAGAAAGAAAAGATGAGGCACAGCAAAAAGGAAACCCCACTATCCAGTGAAATTTGAATCGGTTTTGAATCTTAGCATCGTCTCCTGCAAGAATATTAACGGCTCTGCGTGCTAAGTGAGATGTAGTCTTAGAAATGAAAAGCGAAAAAGATAGTGATGTTATTTTTTCTTTGCATAAGCCTATAGCGGTGCAGAAGGAACACAAAGAAAGAAAATAGATCGAGAAGGAGTACGTCCGAAAGGGTGGTACGAGCGTATTTTCGAATCGTAGTCGCACCATCTTCATCGAGGGACAGACGAGGGAGAGTTTTCCGTTTCTAGAGCTTTACTGCCTTCTAAAATTTTTTTAAATTAGAAAAAAATTACCTAGAACCTACAGGTTCCCATTCAACAAGTAGCTGATCATCTAATATCGGACACACGATTGAACATACATCGACGAATTTGGATAGCCTAAGATAGCCTAAGACACGGCCAACCTATGAACACAGTTGTAACGCTAATGATTGCGTTCAGGATTTGCCGTCGCATTAGGCTAATATCGTAAGATCTACGAGTCTCTCCTGCAAGGATCTGGACACCCCACCCCATCATCAACTTTCGGGGTTGCTGGTCCACCATATCCGCTACGATTCCCCTTTATCACCCCACTACCACGATGGCACGATCACGGTGCGTCCTCAACAGCATACTTGGGTACACGCTATGTTGCTGTTTGAATGTGGGCCAGTAAACAAAACCGGAGAGGTGAACGTTGCATTCGAAAAAGCGGTAAAAGACACAGCATCCGCACAACGTGCCTAAAGAGAACATCTCAGTCAAGTTCAGTCTTGTGCAGAGGAAAGCACCGATCCTGCTCGCAAATGCAACGGGAAAGGTGCTGCAACTATGTAGATGTTTTAAAAGACTAGCGTCTCCGAGAATTTACTTGTCTTGATTGGACACTGGAAGCTTGCCCTAGGCTACTGTCAGAGTCCGCGATCCGTTGCAGGTTTCGCGCGAATCGCAAAAATCGCAAGTGCCTTATTTGAACATTTGAAACACTGAATATGAAACAAGTAGAATCATGAACAGTCGTCATTCAGCCATCACCATCAAGCAGAAATGGCGGCGGGATTGGAGAGCACCTTGCAGTATTGATCGGGCACTTGTGATTTCTGTGATCCGTCGCGTGAATCGCGCGATACCTGCGAAACCTGCAACGGGTCGCGGACTCTGACACCAGCTTTAGCTGTGACAGGTGCACTTACAATCTTAGCGCCTTTAACCAACTTGTTTAGACCTGCACTAACTGACCTAACTAGAGTTACTTTTCGCTCACTTTCCTGTCCATGTAGTCTCATGGACAACGCTGAAGCACTGTTGAGATGCTTTCAGTGGCTATAGAACTAATAGAAAGCAATCGCCAAACCTAGGAGCCGCGACAACCAAGACATTCATAGCATCTTCATCCGCCTATAAACAACAGCACTTCTTCACTCGAACGCCAGACGACCTCGACCGTAAGATTCAGTTTCTAGAGATCGAGAGCCACTCTCTCATAGATGCCGTTCGCGACATAGAGCTTCTCCTTCTCCTTCTTCTCCCTAGCGTTAGTCCCGCGCTGTCGCAGGGGTCCGCTGTCTTTGTCAGCCGTCGCCATGTGTTCTATCCAGGGCATCTTCTTCTCCAGCCGCAGGCCCACCTCAGCATCCTCATCTCAGCGGAGTGAAGCTGCCTTTCGTGATTCTTGTTCAGGGGCCAGCACTCGCTGCCGTATAGCATCGCAGGCCTTACCACTGTCCGGTACACCTTCCCTTTGAGCGTTCTGGAGCACCTTCGATCGCAGAGGATTCCAGTGGACTCCCTCCATTTCATCCATGCCGCGTTGATCCGTGCCTTCACTGCCTGGTCCACACGTCGGCGGCCAGATCGCTCCCGAAGGTATCGGAAGTCCTCTACCCTTCGATGCTTTCCAAGTGCTTGTTCACGATTGACTTGAAATTCGAAAATCCCAGAATACGCTACTTGTGTCCGTTTATCACAGTGTTCGGTGCTACATGAAGAACGACCTGCACAGTCCGAGTCAAGTTTGGGATGAGTGAGCCATGGGACAGCAAGTACAAAACATCTTGTCAGCTAGACGAAGCTCCGCCCACAATGGGCAAGGCCGACCGCAAAGACCGGAAGAAATCGCTAACGATGTACACTCAATTGCTAAGACGAATAAGGAGGACCCGTGGTGGGTGGGGCCAGGTGAATTAACGGTCGATGACCTCGACTATAGCTCTGCTACCATTCGAGACGTATCTTTGGTGCCGAGACGTGTAAACATTCGCGCGAGCACACCAGACGCGCGCGCGCCTCACTGGCATAGGAGATGTGGTGAATTGCCCTGGCGAGAGATGTCTCTGGATCGGGCGCGGAATCCTCGACGTGCCGTTGAGGCAAATCCTCAAAGCGATATTCCACAACCCTGGTGCGCGCCTCTTCCTAAAGGGGCGGCTGGGTGACGAAGATAAGAAACTCCTATTCTATTATGAATAGACCTTTTAGAGCAGAAAAAAATCGTTCAGAGGTGTCATTTCTAAATCTGCAGCACGTCTGAATGGGGTGGGATCCCACAGTGAGCGGAACTTGTCCTTGGTTGGGCAGTATCACGAATCCAAATCATTCGGTTAAGAAAACTCTCACCAGGAAAGTCTTTCAGGATACGGAGCGCTTTTTTTGAAACGGTTTTTTGCTGTTTCAGAGACACGCGCAGGACATATAATGAGATCAATTTTTTTAAGCGGCTGGGAATGCTTAAAAACGTCTCGAAATCAGGGTTTGTGGTTCGATCCCCACTGAAGATAAGTTAGAGAAGTTTTTCTCTAACTTCCATATTCTTGGACTCATATATGTCTAAACTTGTTCAGTGAACAAAAAGCTCCCATATTACAACTACTGGACGCTTCAAATGCTGTGAGGTTTATCAAAACGGAAAACTTTGACTTCTCAAGGAAAATTTTTTGCCCTTTTTTCTGCGAATCCCACGGCCGCCGGGCAAATGGATTCGGCTTGACGAGCCACGCAGCGCCCCTATAACATGCAACAAACCGTTCTGCAAAAGCGCTCCTAACCTGAAAAACTATCCTAGTCAGAAAGCGGAAAAAAGGGATAGGTTAGAGAGAGGAGAGGTCA